AACGCGAGCCATGCGGTGATCCCACGACATACAACGCATGTTTTACTATTCGACGGAGGGTCGCGAGGCAACCCAGGACCGGGAGGCAGTGGCTCGGTTATTCTACGACTTGAAACGGGGCCGACAGCGGTGACACCCATTTGGTGTGCCAGCATGGCGTTCGGCAGCGCTTCTACTACTACCAATGTCGGTGAATATCAGGGGCTCCTCGCCGAACTCAAGCACGCAGTCGGCGTCAAACTTCCACAGCTGCATGTAATTGGGGACAGCAAAATGATCATCAAGCAGATGCAAAGCAGACGTCCTCCATGGGCACCACATTTGCAGATACTTTACTGGAAATGCAGGAGGCTCGCTGATCTAAGCAGCGTCCGCATCACTTTCGAAGCCACAACAAGACGGCGGACGTACTCGCCAATCTGGCAATGGCCACGCACGCAAGCAGACAAGTAACAGCACCGGACACAGGCCCACTGCCGATCGGGGTGTGGAGCAACGCGTTAACACACGCAGCTAATGATGTCAGCGAATGGCAAACGCGATTTGCGGACGATGACCTTCAGGAAAACAGGACTAGTCATCCTAAAGTAGAGACCGAAGCACAAAAAGACTAGCAACGGAATGGGTGGTAGTCTCGAAAATTGATGATCATTAGGTCACTAAACAGAACACAATATACCTAACTTGAAATTAATAATATTCTAGTTTGACTTCATTATCGAGAATCCTTATAAAAGCGAGTCTAAATTTTTTGGGAGGTAACCAGTCTGGTGGAATCATATAGCAAGACGTATGAAAGGGTCTTGAGCTTCCCGGTGAATGACAGCGTTCGTGGCGACGCACGAGCTAAACTTATATTTATACTGAATTTACGGCCTCTTTTTATTACAAAATGACATAAGCGTACGACTTGTGTATTTCCTTCGGCGTCTCGAGATCAGCAAGCAGGTAAATTGAGGTTTTTTAAATTATACCCAGTAGACCCAATGACAAGTAGTTAATAGTATAAACATAACAATGAAAATGATACTACAATTAAATAAAGTACTAATTATGTTCATTTAGCGTTTTTATTATAATATTATAGTTTTATTAACACAAGTTTATAATAGTTTGTGAAAAAGGTAGTATGTATGAAAACTGTTCAATCAGGTGGAATTATGCGAAAGAGTGCCAGAGCTCCATAATGTCTAGAATCACTAATTTCAAACTAGGACAGCTAGCGCAGCAAAACCTCGCCCCCCCCCCCACCTACCAGATTGTCGTGGGGACATCTTGGAGGCAAACAATAGGGCGACCATAGGGTCCACAACGCACGTGGAGAAGAGCGACTCGGAGTGGCACTACGGTATATGACGAGGCATGTATCGGGACATCACTGAGCATCGGCTGACTCGACCACTCGACTTGATACACCGTTCGCAATTAGTCACGCATTATTCCTTAGTGTTGATAAAACACCGCAACTTCGAGGGCGTCAACATGCACACTTGTAGAGCCCTCGATGTCCCAGACACCTGCCTACTCTTGTTCTACACTTTATCGGTCTCTTACTCCGTCGAAATGACCAATATGGCCTTCCCGACGTTGCACATCACAGGTAGCTAGATTTAGATATTGCAGTTAGTAAAATCATTCAACAAATTAGTTCCCACAAAACCCATATTGCAGGTCTAACATCTGAAGGGCACCCCGAACTAACCCTAGCAAAAAAGTGTAAGCTCCTCTAAGGCGCTACAGTACAGATAAACCTGTCTAAGATGATCTCGTACATAGTGATATCCTGTCGTACTTGATAAGAAGTTATTCCACTTAACCCCCCAAAGCGACGGCCTGTATTATACACGTTTCGTAGGGAGGGCTTATCCTGTATAATACACGATAAAGGGTGCATGAATGATCTGCTAGTTTTTCACCTTGTTTTTGTATACGGTCATTTAAACGCTAAGCCACAGAGGGATAGGTATGTGAAGCCTGATCCCCATCCTTCCTGGTGCGGTTCGCGCAGGCGGTGCATTGCACAATTTTTCATAAAATAAAAATTTAGAGGAAACTCAGCGATATGTGGTTCACGCCAAATCAATATAAGAAACTGCAGGGATTTTCAACGCACTCATTTTGGCGCTCATTTCAGAAAACTCCCGCTCCCAGTCAGATGTCGGGTTTTCGGGCCCGGTGGAAGAAACTACGGCAAGAAGGCTGGTCTTCCAAGCCTCCTACAGGCCTCTCAAATGACCCCACCTATCTGAAGCCCGGTAAAAGCAGGACAGACATCCGCGGAATAGACTTCTTTGTAGGGGAGAAGGAGCTGATGTCGTATTTGGATCGACTAGACCTTGGTAAGTTGTTTATTCTAATGATGTATTGAAAACTTGAGCCTAACCGTTGACGCGTGTATAGATGAGCTTGCGAGGCAAAAGGAAGATGAACGACAGACCGACGACGCCACACACGCATCCTCGAGGCAAGACGATGGAGCCACTCCACCTGATGACGCTACTACACCTCCAACAGGTATATTTTACAACGCCTGTACATTACACCGTACCTGTCTAACACTATCGTGTATTATGCAGTTAGTACAGTGCGTGAAGAGCCACTCTCAACCACCCCAGTACGACAACAGACGCACCCCAGCTCTCCAATGCAATCTCACTCCAGTGCACAGCTAATTACTACTTCGCCGCATGAAGCTGACGACAATATCGATGCTTTTTTTCGTCAAGTCCAGACACACCCGGTACGTTTACTGTGCCATCCATACAATTCGAAGGTGTTGTAGCTAACTCTTTTCAACGTTGTATTTTTCCAGTTGTGCCAACCACTTCAAGGCGCCATCTGTATGAACTGTTTGGGTCTTCTGATGAGTCAGATGACTCTAACGACTCTCCGCAAAGCCCCACAAATGTGCAACAGTCCGCAGACGGCGATCGCGTGGACGCGGCATCGAACGCTGCGTTTTCCTGTTCGTCTTTATCTGTTAGGTTCAAACGTGTATGTACACGATATACAATTCTTTTGTATACATGATACACATAGATGATGATAATAACAACTATCATGTATATTTTTAACAGACGATCCTAACATTGTAACGCCCGGCGATGACAAGTATGTCTTTGCAAGTCTTGATTCGGACGAGGAGGGGGGAGGATTCTCTGTGTACGACGATGATGAAGAGCTGGAGCTCGCTGAGCCTGATCCCAGCATTGAAGATGAAGATGTCGTCCCACCTGAGCTTCCATTTGATGCGTCTCTACTTGAAGCAGTAGGTGGTGTTCACGAGATTGCACGTGGCAACCTCAAGGCTGATGTTTTAGCCGACATGAAGGAGAACGGGTGGTCTCCAGTACACAATCAGACGCCTTACCCATACATGGATGAACCCTACGACATGCGTTGCGATGATTGGGCAAATATTGACTATCCGGATCTATTTCGCGGTGAACATGGACCAACTGCTGCAGCGTTGAGCGCTGCTGAGACCCCAATTGGTGCATTTTTTCAGTTCGTCCCGCCGTACTTACTAGAAAGAAGTGCGGGTGCTAGTAACGACTACTTTATGGAGAACCTGGACGCGCGAGTGGAGAGTCTACACACCAAGCAGCTAGATAGGAAGCTGAAAAGGCCTGATTCCCATGTCTCACCTCCGGATATCATAAAGACTAAGCTGCTGAACACGAAGGACATTTCAGGACGAGAAATTGCTATTTTTCTTGGATTACTTATTGCAAGAACCAGCTCCCAACAAAGAGAGGTTTGATAACCATTGGAAGACTACAGATGAAGGTGCTATTCCTCGTGGCTGTTTTAACGCATTTATGACTAGAGATCGCTTCTATCATATCTCGCGGAATCTCCACTTTAGCAGCAATGCTGACGCAAGAGCGCATATCGATCGAGCTTGGAAACTCCGCCCGGTGATTGACGTGCTGCAAGAAACATTTCAGGCCAGTTTCATCCCACCTACAATAATGGCGTTTGACGAAGCGATGCTTCCGTGCACGTCTCCGTTCAACAAGATGAGAATCTTCATGAAGGACAAGCCCCATCGCTGGGGCACAAAGCTTTTTATGCTGTGCTGTTCCAAGTCTGCATACTGTATCAGGTAAGGAAAAGAGCGTGCCTTCGGGCACGCTCTTTTTTTATGGTTTCAAAGTTACCTTATCGTGTCTTCGGCGTGCTAAAACCTTTTGAACTATTGTGTATTTTACAGGTTTGAAGTCTATTGTGGAAAGCAACAAATGCAAGACAGTAGCACATCCAGTGATGGAAAATCGGGACCTGCCGCAGTCGTACGGACCTTACGTCAAGTCTTTGGCGTCAACGGACCAACTGAGCGACGTCTCATAGTCACCGACAGGTTTTACACCTCTGTCGTGCTGGCTATGCAGCTGCTGACCATGAACTTCTACAGTTTGGGCACAATAATGACGAACAGAAAGGGGCTGTGCAAAGCAATTCTACCAAAGAAGACTAAAACGGCAGGAAGGAATCAAAGAAGCGACCAGCACAGATCGTCAAAGGAACGTATGACGTAGCCACCCTCCAAAAGGTGCCATCGATCAAGGCCGTCCGTTGGTGGGATAATCAAGCGGTGTATCTGCTTGCTGCTGGAGGAAGTGCAGTACCAGACCGTATCGTAATCCAGTAGCTGGAGATCAGACAGAGTTGATGTGTCCACGGATCGTTAAAGACTATCAGACTTTCATGGGCGGAGTCGACGTTCACGACCAGTTACGTCTACAACGGCAAGTATTCATATCCTGTATATACACGTTGAAGTCATCGTTTTAACATGTATTGTACGTATTATTAGGTATTCACTGCAATTGGCTCGGCGCTACAAGAAGAACTACAAATCTCTCTTTCTGGGACTGATAGACATGGCTATCATCAATGCTTTCATCGTGCACAATTACCATCGCGCGGCAACCGGGAAGCCAAGGGTTTCCCACGTGACTTTTCTGAAGACGCTTCATCTACAGCTCTGTCAGTTGCTACCGGAAGATTGGGTGCAGCTTCTTCGCCACCGCGGGCATCACGCGACGCCAACGCGGGCACGACAAGCTCGAGCGGCGCACATGCCTGTACAGGCCGGCGAGTGGCGCTAAGGAAACTCCGATAAGACGAGAAAGCGTAGGCAGCGTGCGTGCAAGGTTTGTTCGGTGCTAAAAGGCGCTGCCACGTCTCGAGGGGGAAAACGACATTCTACTGTGCTGAATGTAAGCTGAAAACAACATCAAGACACGAGTTAGCCGCACGCGTATTCCTCTGCAACAAGGTGAAGCATTGCAGCAAAGGCGAACCTACTTCGTGCTGGGATATCTGGTGATCAAAGCTCTTCTCCATCACATCAGGAGTACCAGTTTGCATCTGCAAAAAAAAGTCAAAATTTAAACATTTTAGCGTTAAAACGCCGAAATGTAAACGCCATACTTACGTAACGGAGCGATTTATCAGGATACGTGCGGATCGTTGTCAGTTCTTTCCAAAGCGACGCACTGGCCGCTTCTATGGAGCACGACAACGGGGCACTGGAGACGATTTCCACTGTCAGGCCAAGTTGCGGATCGACTCGGTGCTGCATTTCGCATTTTAGAGTCGGCGTCTCCGTCTCGGTCTCGAATAAAGTCGCTGATTTCAGGTACATTTCCGAGACTTTTTTCGCCAACTGGGCCATGATGACAGAGCTGTTGTCGACGGCAGCTAGCGGACCTTGTGACGTCGGTGGCTTGGCATCCAAAAAGTCCATTCCCTGCGTATATAAAATATTGGGTTAGGCCAATGCAGACCGGTTTTAAACGTTTTTTTTACGTACCTGGAGCACTGATTTATTCATGACAACACCTCGCAACGCCTCGTCGACTCTTGCCTGGTTCGCTAGTAGCGTTCTGAGTTTCCTGTTGGTGTATTTGACGCTCTGTCGCCTCTGCAATTCGATCATGGTCAGTTCCATCCACTTACAGTCCGCCGTCTTCTTGAGCTGCGCGACATGAGCCGCAAGAGCTCCAACGCCCACTACGCGTGTGTGTTTCAGCTTTTCCACTTGTGCTTCGAGGCGCACGGCCTCCTCTCGCAGCTGCTGCATCTCTGCTTTCTTGCGGTGCAGCAGGCGCGTCGAATACCCCGCTGTATTCCTCGACCGACGCTTCCGATTCGGTTTTTACGGCTTTGAAGCTGGGGAGGTCGATGGCCAAGGTTAAACTCTGGCTATCAGACAGTGGGGATGCCGCGCTGTCACTCCCGCTTGTACTGCAGTTCGTACTGGGGCTTGCACTTCCCTCGCATGCATCGATGAAGGCCAAAGCTTCGGCTACAGTGGCCATATCCTCGGGCTCCAGCAACACGTCGGTCATCTTCATAGGGCGTGGGTGATGGGTTGTCGTTAGATGATGTGTCTTTACCGTAGCGCAATATGATTGGGTGGAATGTCTTACGCTAACGATCTGGATTGGTGGAAATGTTGATGATTTTGCAGGTCACATGATTGCGAGTTTACAAAAGTAGAGGAATAGATGGGTAGTTTCCCAAATACGATTTTTTTTTAAATATTTTCGGTGCGGCTACATGTACATGGTGTTTGTCAGCGACAAATAATCACTCATTTTGCTGTCGACTGCGACTGGTCCAACGGCCATTGATGTATTTTATTTACTACAGTAGTTGTAGTCAAACTAGCGCGTTCTGGCCCGCCATCAGCCTAAATGCCTCGCTAACCTGCAGCTGCTTGTCCATGATCCTTTTGAGAGTCCGGTTGAGCTCCTCCGCTTTTTGTCGCTCCGCATACTCGATTGCAGCCATTGCCTGCCAGTCGCAAGTTAGTGCATCTTTCTCTTCGCTCTCTCTCGGCAGCCCAGCTCGATTCTGAAGCCTTTCCGCGTACTCTTCGAGGTCATGGACGTGCTCTCGCAAGAATTGCAGCTCAGCTCGCTTGCGTCGTTGAAGTCCGGTCGATGAGCTCCAGCCCGTTCGTTTCCGTCTACGCTTCGGCTTCGTGGGCGGTGTGGTGGTCTCAGATGAGCAAGCGGTGCGGTCAGTAGTCGTAGGAGAGCTTTCTGTTGTGGGCGCTGGGAAATCGAGAGGTGGCAGCATTGCATGCTCGCACCAAGGGTCAGCAACGTCGATGCTGTCGGAGAAAACGTCGGGGCATACACAGCAGTCGATGAACTCGAAGAGCTCTTCCAACGACGCCATTTGCGCGTCTTCTTGCATCGCACTACTGATCTGGTCCGTCCTTGAGGCCGCGCTTTCTCAAATGAGAGTACACCGGTACACGAAAAACTACTGTATGACTGCAAGCACGTGCATCCTGCACGTTGGCAAAACCATCCGCCTACTGCCAGTAAACTACTGGTACCATGACCACGAATTCTCTACATGTACCTCACACTTTTATGCATTCGTGTTTTGCTCATCGGCCTCACGACGTGCCACAGTGGCGTACGGAGCCTCTAATACTCAGTACATGTACTAAGCAATGACAATCTGCCAGTAAGCCTCTCCTTACAAACTGGTGTAGGTACGGCATGGACCTTGCCGCGTTGCCCTATTTCGACTCGGATTTGCCTGCATGGAGTCCATGCGTCCACGATGGACGCAGTACAGTACTGCGCCCCGTTTTCGCGGGGGTGGACCATATAGGATTTGCAAATAAATCCGCTTTTAGCTTACAAACAAAAGTTCATTTGGACTCAGGATCATCACATCCGGAAGTTTATCAAAGGTCCAAGGGCGCGAAAACGGGGTGCAGTACTGTATAGTGTTACAGATGGCGTTTGTATGGCTGGTCGCTCCGTCCGCGTCTTCCTCGCGCCAATGTAGCTCTTTGTAAGCCATAACGTTTACTGCACCGCCTTTCGTTTTGGAAACAAAATTGATTCGTCCCAATTTAAGGAGTTGTGGGGAATGCTTACGAATGCCCTGATTACGATGGCAATTGACGACTACTAAAGGACTCAGCAACGGAATACTCGTTTATCATGATGTTTCAACAGATCGCAGACACTACGTAATCAGGAAACCAAATATAATATGATATTTTTGGTAATACTATAATAGTACTTTATCGATACTAAATAGCAATTAGAGTAGCTTAGTTTTTTCAAAAGTTAGCTAAATTTTTTAAGATTCGCTCATAGATTTAAAAAATATTAGATACTAGATGATTTTTTTTATTTTCCCACCTAAGTACGTTTCTTGCCACCTTACGAAAAGAACTCTTTCGGGCTCTAAAGCAGCTGCAGCCTAAAATCTGACGAGCATTTGTTCAAGTTTTTCACTGTGACACAGACAAAGCCGATCGAGATGGAAAACTGCAAACGGTTGCCGTTGTTTGAAGTCGATAGAGCGAGTTGTTCGAGTAATCTGCCGATAGTCGTCCAGATCGTGCGTCTCATGAACCTGCAGCCTGTGGTGCTATATTAATGCGCAGCAGTGCCAACACACCACACCAACCTTGCCGTCACTCTCACAATTGTCCCGGCCTCACTGCTGATTAGTAATACTGCAGCTAGTCGAACTTCACGACATTAGATTGGTGGATTAATACCGATTACCGAATCTTTGAGAAATACAAAATCGTTTTAACTAAAATTAAGTTGATCTTTAGTAATATCATTTTGTTTCACAGGAAAATATTAGGTAATATTTAATATATTAGCTGATCTACCAGGTGATATATTCACAATATTACCTTTACCGATTTTGGAGTTACCATTAACCCCTGTACGTAATACCAAGTACAGTACCGGTATCATTGCTCACCCAAAGCAATCATTTGTCAAAATACTATCCAGTACATTGCTTGCTGCGTTTGGCAACCTTTGGCAGACGTCGGCATGTTGCAGGCTGCAACTTGCAGCACATCCTCGGACTCCCTATCGTCGTATTGCCTACAAAAGGCAACTGCAGTACCGGTGCAAACAAGCTTATAGTCGCATCGATTAATTTACTTGTTCTTGTATTGTCTTCCGAGACCAGCACAAAATTGGGCCTAACCAACCCTCATGCAGGTGACTTGAACTTCGTTAAAGGTAAAAACGCTTGGGGTACATGATCAGTCCTTATTACATGATAATCGCACCCAGCTTCGAATTTGATTACCAAAGCAGCTCAAATTATGGGCGTTCGGCTTGTTTTAGTCACCTTATGAACTGGGAGTGGTGTCATATCGTACATGTATCTGCCTTCGTCACTATCCATTTGACTTCATAAGCTTTGCTAATGGTGTTACCTACACGTACAGGATTGTGTCGCAATGCATACTAAGCTTAGGGGGCGTATCAAAGGGAAGACAGAGGAGTTTATGGCAAGCCTAGTAAGGTATATGTTGGCGTGCCTACCACAGCTACAGCAGAAGGTCTCGTACTGCTCTTAAAACTAGCAATAACTATTTATTTATTATCTTGCTGGCTTTTGTACGTCCTTCCAGATTGATATCGATTCAGAATCGTGACACCTCTTCACAAACACTTGCCAGCGCTTAGTGTATATCTAACTGGTTGTTCGTGATCGCGTGAAGAGCACGATTTACGTCCTCCGATCGCAGACGCTCCTAAAACTCTACCGCCGCCATCTCTTTCCACTGTCTTCGAGTTGTCATCGTGAGGAAGGCAAAAGCCGGCACGGGAAGAACTTTAAGCTGCTGTAGATAGGTTTTCAAATTCATGCAGCTCCGCTCACTTGCGCCTCTGCAAATTAGTGGACAAACTCCATCCAACACGTTTCCTCCGGCGTTGTGGGGGCTTCTTCTGCATTATCGTGCCTGCTACAGGGTTCGACCTTTCTGCGTCCTGAATCGAGCGCTGCTCTTTGGTTTCGGCAACACACGTGAAGGTCCCATTTTCAACGGTCTCAGCAGACTCATTCGAGCAGTCGATAAAGGCAATGAGCTCCTCGAGAGTCGTCATTTTCTCTTCATCTTGTTCAAGCAAGTATCTCATCAGATTGCTGTGCTCGCACTGCATTTGAAAGGAAGAAAGGTTTAATAGCTCTCCGGTGGTCAGTGACCGCCACATCAGAAAAAGCGTCTTGCTGTAGAGGAGCAACGAAAGTTCATGATAATGCCACCAGAAATACCGACGAACAGTGCCAGTAAATACAGACTCCGCCCATAAATTGAAAAGGGTTGACCTAAAGGATATCAAGTAAGCATAGGCTATGGGTTATTGCAATCATTATACCACGTTTGTTCTGGCTGAAAATACTGAAAGTAGTAAAACCGCGTTTGCGAGGGTATAAGTTGTATGTGCATTTTAGTGTCTGGGCGGAGTCTGTAGTAATAACTTGTGGGAAAGGCTTCACTTTTACTAAATGCTGGTGCCAATGACTATCTACGGAGACAGTGCTACTGGAGAATCCCTGAGAAATTCGAAGTAGCGACGTGGAGCAGGGTTTGCAACACCTTCTGTACGACGTAAGCCCCTCGTGTCAGACGCGAGCTTGTGCTGCCTTCAACATGTTGCTCCCTAAGCTAGCGCTCGTTGTCATGAGCCTGGTCGACTATAAGATTCAGAAGCAGCTGGAGGGCCTCGGATGTGCACGAAAAGCTCGCTCGACGCCGAATACTCGCTCCGTGAAGAATAAAGGTGCAGTTTTCATCCATGATACCGGCCCGTCGACCTTTCTTCCGCCTTAAAGTTTATGGACCAGCAGCATGATGCACTTTTCGTAATCCACTGATCCACATGCAGAATAAACAGTATAATTATGCTGTTATTTATTAAAATAAAGAGATAAACTCTTCTTTCTAATACAGCCCGTGTTTGAAACGAACGAAATATTTCAAATCTAAAAATTAATTTAAAAACACAAGTCTTAAAGGTCCCTCCTGTGACCCTTGAAAAAAAGCTGGTGCCAATGAAATTGTGTAACAGCGTGCCGATACGTACCGACTACCAGCTTTAATTTTGATTACAGATGACTGTTTTTCGATCATCACATTGTATCAAGTTTTAAGTTATACAGTATTATCTAGAGATGCTTACAAAAAGCTAGTCTACTACTTAACCCCCCCAAAGCGAGCGGATTCCGTTGCGCCTATTTACCGAAACCCCATACACGTTATGGATAGTGGGTTACAATAGTAAGACCCAGCTATATTTTATCGTGTTTTTAACAGAGTCGGTACAGCGCCCCACCCCTAGGGTCTTCATTTCTCGATATCGTGTATCAGGTATACTAACATGTCTGCACTGTACGCGATAACGCTGATATCGTGTCCTGAGTGAACAAAGACAACACAACATTTGTACAAAAACACATCTAGCGGGGAGTGACGGGTCATATTTTTGTCGATATTTAGAGAAGGATTCCACATGGCGATCTGCACAAAAAAACATATATTCAAATCAAGTTATTTTTGAAACCGGAACATGTGCTCTGACGACGATCTCACTAGATGCCGTCATCGTTAATGTGTGGCCGCCATCCCGAACGACCCTGAGAGGAAACACTTCCGATTTCAGCTCTAGACTGCGACTCCGAGTCGCTGGCATCAGAGCCACCGTCACTTGCAGCGCGTGCGGGCTTCCGGGCTCGAATTTTGCGCTTGCGTCCTGATTGAGGGATCATAGTCCCATTTTTCCAGTATTTATTGGATTCTACGAGGACACGGAGGGGCGACGCCTTTAAATGGGCTGCAGTATATGAGGCAGCTCAAGGAATCAGACCGCGTCGTACTGGCGCGAGCGTACAGTATGTTATTGCCCACTGACGGTTTGCAGCTCTGTGCCAACGCGTGGACGATCTTCTCTCGCTCCAAGTTAAACTCCACAGAGGCGTCGGAGCTGCGAGCTTTCGTGCAGCTTTACATGAAGATACAGCCGGGCCTTGCAGCGCGTCCGGAGGATATTGCTTATCTGAGAGATGTTGCTTTCGAGACGTGGAGTATGAAGATGCGTGGTCATGCGCAGTATTTACAGGAGGTGCTGGTCGAAGCTGCGTCGGATGCCCCAACGGGGACATCACAGCTACTGCTGTATTCTGTTTGCTGATATTTACCCCTACAATTGTAAAGGATATATGCAGATTTTTTTATCCAGTATTTCTTAAAAAAGTTAATATACTACCTTCTTAGACTCAGTATTGTCATTTTCATACAAAATTGACAGCGCCCATGAAATGATGGCGCTGAACAAGAATAGAACGCGAGAAGATCCATCACGAAGAAGAAGATCGAAAAGAATTTGAATGTTTGAACGCAGTATAGTTTA